CGGCTTCATCTTGTTTACCGTTTACCAAATACCCCCTTGCACCGGACTTCTTATCATTCTCCTTGCCACCAACCCCACCACTTAGACCGAGCATGCCAACCTAAAGGGGGAACTATGCAAGACATCCTCACGAAATGCCATCAGCGATCAGCAGTGACGAGTGGGATCTCCCACGCCTAAAAGCCTCAATTGGCTTCGAGGTGAGGCTGTCCCGACGCTTGTGTCTTTGAGTGGCTCATGTCCCGTGAGTATAAACTGATCATCGCTGTGCAGGATGATTTCCAATATTTGGCATCAGATGACCAAGATACCGGTGAGGCTTTCACGTATGTATTGGGAAATACAGCGTTCTGACTATTCTTTGTTAAGAGTTCTTCGATGTGAAGTTCTATCCCTACGCAGACGCCACACACGATCCGGTCTTTGCTGCGGTCAGTAAGAAGCATGTTGTCATATATCGGCTTTCCAACAAATCCAATCCTCCTTACGAGCTCGTTCAGCTCTTCAGGGATGACGATGTGAGTTGTGCCGCAGTCTACAATGCAGGCAGCGCAAAACTTACCCAAAAGTAGAAAGAAGCCTTGAATTGCAGCTGCACTTGGACTAAAGATCCCGAGACCGAAGTTCCCTATCTATGCGTAGCTGGCAGAGACGCCAAAATCAAAGTCTACGATGTTGTTCAGGGGAAGTTAGTTAAGGTCAGACAATCATTTATAACCAACTATCGTAAATCTACCTAACTAACATCTCGTATAGGTCCTTGTGGGCCACGGAGGAGTAAGTTTTATTACAGATCGGCTGGAATACTAGACTGACAGCCCCTGGAGGAAATCAATGATCTAGCCACATGCCCGACGAATTTCCTCTTGATTGCATCTGCTTCAGAAGATACTACAGTACGAATATGGAGCCTCGATCCCGCACAGTCTAAGCAACCATGTGTCTGCCTTCTTGCCGGAGAAGGTCATTCGTCAGGTTTATTGACTGTCGTATGTGTCTCTACCTACTCTGATAGCTATCTTGGTTTTGACTAGTATCTCTCAGGCATTCCATAACAGTGGGCGATATGTTCTCTCCGCTGGTCACGATAACGTTATATGTCTGGTATGAAGTTAACTCTCCAATCAAGGAGATAATGTGGGTGTATCTTACTGACATATTCCAGTGGACACTTCCTAACTTGCCCCCCGAATCCAACGGCAAGAACCCCGCGAAGCCTATCGTAATACATTATCCTCATTTCTTCACCTCTGAGGTGCATAGCGGCATAGTAGACTGGTGAGTCATCATCTCATCTTACGGGATTGTAGAGGGAAAGCTAATAAATAGATCAGTGTCGCTTTCTTTGGCGATCTCATTCTTTCGAGAGCTTGCCATGAAGATATAATAGTGTTGTGGCGAATCGAGGGTTTCTCCTCCCATGATCCTCCCCCGGAAATCTCTGAGGCGCCTACCACGAGCGATACAGAACGTCTAACTCGTTCTGCGTTTGCTCCCGCAACGGCATCAGCATGTCCACCTCAATACACCCGTTTACTGGAATTCTGGACACCGAATTGTGGCCATCAGTTCTACCTTCGCTTCAAACTATTTCACGACAAGGACAAACACCCAGTCCTAGCATTTGGCAATGCGAAGGCTATGATCTTCTTCTGGGATCTCGCTCGCCTGGGAAGTTATCACAATTTCATCAGCGAGGTCCGCAATCCAGAGCGCGATAAGTCCCAGCCAATTCAACGTCCAGGTTGGCTAGCCCCAATTCAGCATAGACACAAAGGTGACGCCGTCAGCAAGCTTAAGGACGCTGCTAGTGACAGAGAGTCGGTCGCATCGGGACGAACCGGCAGTGTCGAGGTTGAGACGCACCTGGATCTCAACACGAACTATTCACAAGAAACAATTGAATCTTGGGAATTGAAATACGACATGACACGTGTGGAGGAACCTATCAGAGCACACTCCCAGAGCAACATCACCGTAAAGGACTTTGTCGGACGCCAGGTTGCTTGGAGCGCTGGGGGTGAGTGGTGTGTTGTGGTTGGTAGTAAGAATCTTGCTATCATCCTGCAGCGGTGGCATAAGAAGGATAGAACGGAGGATAAAGATAAAAAGTCTAATAGTCAGGATCGTCAGAGTTAAGACGACGACGATTTACAGAGCTGTCAACACAGTTCTGATCCATTGCCTATTCTAGCCATTGCCTTATCTAGATAGCCTACCTTAGGTACCTACCTCCTTTATAGAGCAGGAAGACATGGTTATATTCTAGGTACATCATAAATTGTAATCGAATTAGCACCAATTCTCACTCAGGGCATCACGTGTAGTTGAGTTCATAGGATATTCTGAAGAAATCGTGTGACATTTTTAACTCCACCGTCGCGGCTAGCCTAAGGGAATGACGACGTTCAAAGGCTCAACGATATACTTCTATTAGATCCCTCCCCATACCATAATCACGAAAAACTCTATCAACCACCAACCAATCAACCACACGGATAGTAGTAGAGAACCGACTCTGCGGACCAGTACTCAATACGCTTAACTTGCCTTTCCTGCCATTGCTGACTAGATGCAGTAAGGTATGTTATTGATGTACTGGCACTTGGTGCCCGTAGCGCAATCTCCGCCATCCTGCAAATCGTCAGTGACTAGAAACTGATAACATATATGATGTACGTACAACGTAGAAACCCTGGGCATTGCAGACGAACCAGCCGGAGAAGTCGGGCTTGCAGATGTAGGAGATGGGTTTGCACGTCCAGGTGTTGTCCGAGCTATTCCAGGGCTTCGTGGGAACAGTGGGATCGGTAATATTCCATGAAGTCGTAGGATCAGTCGGATCGGTGGTACCCGGGTCGGTGGTAGGGTCGGTGGTAGGGTCGGTGGTGTTCCAGGAACTCGTAGGGTCAGTGGGGTCGGTGGTGGGATCAGTGGTATTCCAGGAGCTTGAGGGATCAGTAGTGTCCGTACTGTTCGTAGTACCGGTGGTGTCCGTGGGGTCCGTGGCGTTCAAGGGATCTGCCACGAACGGTGCAGCGAGGGCGGCCGTGACAAAGGCCATGATTGCGAAGAACTTCATCTTGAAGTTGAAGACGGTGATGTCGGAGAGGTAAAGGAGGTTATGGTGTATGAGTGTTGAGTGTTGATCCTTGGAGAATACAGTCGCTTGAACAGATAATTAGGTATCGTCTGATCTGCTCCTTTCTTATATAGCACCAGAATAATATGAACGGGCTCTCGATAGGGCGTATTGTGAGGCAGCCGCCCCAAGATCGCAGAACGTTTATCCTCCTGAGAGTTTGTTGTGGTGCATATCGTCGTAATTCGCTAAGAGAACGTAACGTCTCATACTGTTATGAGAAACAGGAGGCTAATCAACCACTCAAACAACTAGAATTGGGGGTCAATCCTACACATCACGATTGTTGAGAGCCCCATCTGGGATGTCAGTCTTCAGGACTTCAAGATCAGACTGCCTATGAAACTGGATTAAGAGTTCCTGATCAACCTGTCAGATGAAACGCCCGTCATGCTATTCGTACATCAATATCGGGCTAAGTCGACATGATATGACCTATTTGGCTTAAGCCGCCGCTCGCGAAAGCATGCGAGGGCTTTCCATGTGATGAAGTTTGTAGTAAATCCCACTGACATTCATCCCCTTCCGTTGAAAGTTATGTTACAGTCCAGTTCTCTCTAGCGTTCGACAAGAAACTTAATAGAACCCAGAGAATAATTAGTGCGGTTCTCAAGCTAGAAATGAGTTCTAGAGTTTTGACCGTGGATCAGAAACCGTTGGTTTTACCCACGCGGACACGGGCGGTCGACGTCTAGACGTATTGGCCGTCATAGCGTGTTGACGTTATTAGTGTGCGCGTAGATTACGTACTCTTCAAAATGTTAGTAAAACGTACGTCTGTTTTGAATTTAGGTTCCCTCATACCTTAGACATGTAACGTTCGATTTTAGAAACTTGTGATGTCAACTCCCTTCCCGTATTCTTGTTTCTCTCTACTTCGAGAAATACTGACGCTCGAAATCCCACGAGCTCACAGGTAGAGTCTATCCCATGTGGGAATGTTCGAGATTCTTATACTTGTGCTAATCTCAACGCTATAGACACCTATGTATAATGGCGAATCCAAAACACTTGGTGCGAGAGCTGATCCCTAAGAGGTAACTATCGAATGACACAATAATGTCATGTGAGAAAAGGCAGACAATAGAACGGAATGCGGCTCCCTACAGAAGGCACAATTCAACTTAAGATGGTTGTAGGTAGTTACGCTATGCTATAGCAAGACACATGAAGGAATCACCAATTGACCTCTATGAGCGGAAGTATCCCCGCCTTGTCTAGAAACTCGCACCTACCTTGCGGCCCATCTGCATTGGAGGTTCTATATACGAAGGCTTATTTACCTATGGAAAGCGCAGTTGGGGCCATGGTCCCTTCTCTAGCTAGTAACCATTTGATCTACTGGTTCTTTCTTGAAATTCAGTCTAAATGTGAGGCTCAAGCAATATCAAGCTCCAATCCTACGGGTCCTTTTTCATACCCCATCACTAGATTCCTAACATTGCCCTGCTATGTCAATTATGACTTCGACCTCTTCTGTTTCATTGGGAGTGAAATTACCTATTACTACTATTCGTATTAGGCAATGTTGAACGGACCAGTGGAAGTGCCAGGCTAACCTCCGAGCTCAATGATTGTATCGCTGTGTTCCATTGGGATTATAGTCAAGCCCGTCAAGTCAGCCACCTTGATGGCTACGTTACGTATGTACACGGCGTACGCTTTGGTTCAAGTTACGTTGTGACCATCGCGAAGAAAGCGGGGCTGATCTGTGCGTACAGTGCAAGGACCAGATGCTATCTACCATCTTACTGTCCGGGCGCACAAAATTATATAGGCCACAAAAAATGCCGCATTTCCATGAATCAACCACCCTCCGATAGAGTCGGTCGTTGGCTAAAGCTCCCTAGGGAGTCACGGGCTTGTGGTTTAGTGGTATAATACTCCCTTAGCATCTACAGCATCTACAGCATCTACGATCACACAGATCCTGTGGTATGGCTTGGGAGTGGTCCGGGGTTCGATTCCCCGCGAGTCCAGCAACTGGAGGTTAGATTCCTCCTATACCATACTTTTTACCATACTTTTTTCGATTTATATTATTTTTTCTGCATTTATTTCATTTATTTTCCCCAGCTTTACCTGCTTGTCCACCAATGCGTGCGCCTACCCTTTTTTATTTTATTTTTTCTTCCTTCAGCATTTGTTATTTCTCTCTGCTAGGTTTTTGCCCGGAGCCTTTGTGTCATTAGCTTCATGTCATATCCGTCACACATATCTGCATATGAAGCTGCCCTCATTACCTAGTAATCGCAACATCGTACAACACATGCTGGACTCGGCGATTTCATTTCTTGGCTAGTACGTGTCGTCTACTACGTTACTGTTCGGGCGATGGCAGTTTTCATGTCACGCGAGATGTGATGAGGCCGGAGACTGCGAGGTTTGCTGGCCCGCTGTGGCGTCATTCTGAGTTGTAATTATGTACTTTGAGAGACCGGCTAGGTACTTTTTAGGGCTGATAGAGTGGGTTTACTGGTATCGTTGACAAACAACGGGAGCAAACAACACCTGGGTACTATGTAGGTAGGAGATGCTGAGTCCAAGTCTCCTAGTTGGGGAATTGATGGGGGAAATCCGAATTCCGAAGTAGTAACACGTTAGTAGAAATCAAATACAACGATTCGACAAGCTTGAAATGCTTTACTTTGCGAAGTTGTATTTCGGTGACTTGAGCCTGTGTAACCGCCGGTCTATCGACTGAACGGGATTAAAGTCAGACATGCATATATCTTTCGGAATACAGTAAGCGAAATGCGAAATACTTGGTTACCGTCGATAACTTCATGTTGTTAAGCTAAAGGTCCGCTTGCTTAGGTGTCTGTTATGTTAGGTAATGTATACAAGGACCGATTGTAACCCGTACAAGTTTCATCTACTTTGGATTCGACGAAAGCTGAGCAATAAGGCTGAGAACGGCGCAGATCGACCTATTCGGTGATGGAATCACATATCTTTCAGACATAATTCTTCTATAGCCTCTAGCTAATAAGTTGTCTTAAATTGTAAATAGATTATAAAAATAGCGTTTCCAGCAAAATCAAGCGACGTCCCAGTGCAGTCGCGCGGCAAAGACAATATCGGGGCGTTTAAGGACGGAAATAGGAAGCTTAAATGATTTTGTTTCAAGTTCGAATGCCCATGCCCCACCAGAAAAGTCTACTGATTTACGGATTAGTGACCAATAAAATCCCCCCATTCCCCAGCTGCTAAAGATCATCGACATGGGGATCCCTGATACCCCTGAAAATCCACTTGGCCATCTGGACCACTAGAGCGATCTTCTCGACAACAGGTCCTTCCCAAACCTGCATCGAGATTCTTCAACGCTACGGCCCAACGGCCGTTGTATAGATCTTCGGCGTTTCTTCACCTTGGCTAATGGATGCGGAGCATAAATTTAGGCCTATCCTTCTCCATTTCTTCGTAGTAACCTTAAATGTACAGGTAAAATACCTTAAATACCCGAGTTTTATAAGGGCTATTGTGTTAAATTAAAGAAGTTTATTAAAAATTTCCTATCGTAAAAATCTTAAATATTAATTACTTTAAAAATTTTAAAATATACTTAAGTTTTATAAAGGTTATTATATCGAATTAAAAAAGCTTATTAAAATTTTTTTATCGCGGAAATTTTAAGTGTTAATTATTTTAAAAATTTCGAAATATAATAATGTAATAAAAGCTATAATAATACGATAAAAGTTATAATAATGCGGTAAAAGTTATAATAAAAGCTATAATAAAAGCTATAATAAAAGCTATAAATAAATGTGATAAGTGTAATAAATGTTATAAGGGTAAAAAATAAAAATAAAATAAAATAAAATAAAATAAAATAAAATAAAATAAAATAAAATAAAATAAAATAAAATAAAATAAAATAAAATAAAATAAAATAAAATAAAA